TTGTACTAGTATACTTACACTTGATACATTGTACTAGTATACTAAAACAATGACAGCTCACACTGATTCTACACAGAATACATAAAGTATACTACTCCTGGGTAACTAAACAAAAAACAACTCAGTTTTGAAAAAGAAAAAAAAGTAACATGTTACAGATTTCAAGATTCCTTCATGTAATCAGTAACTTCACTAACAGAAGTAAACTCAGTAATGGGGTTAGTCGGTAAAAACACTTACTTAGGTTTGAACTTGCGTATATCCCCCCACATTCTGACAGTTTTCTGGAGGCGGATGATCTGCTCCCGGCGCCATACGATCTTGTTTTTTACTGTAACAAATTAAACAACCAAATTCATGACAATTGTACTCAAAACCACAGCTACTACTAATAACAACTTGTAACAAAGCGATTTATTACTCGTAACAATTTGTAACCAAGCATTAACAATTCTAACTCATATCTTATAACCTATCAATTCTTATACAACTTCTAAACAAAACAAATCTATCAATACTCACAACAATTTGTAAACAAGACAAAATCTACCAATACTCACAACAATTTGTAACCATGAAAACAGCTATTATTAACAATTTAATCTATGACTATATTCCTATATATTTCATTGTGTGCATAGAACTGAAGAAACCACCCAAACTAGTATGAAGTGTTAAGAAACCATCCAAATCATTCTAACGTTTTTCCTGACAATGGTGAGTATAATTTATAGTATAGCATAAATGTCTTACAAGCTTGTCCAGTGTTGTCATGATCTACTTACATTTGATGACAGAGAGGGAACACCACTGTGCCTTTTTCCAGCGAGAACAGATAAGCCAACGCTTCACCTTCTTCACCAGAGCTGCCAGGTTCTCCGGGTCACTCTTCATCAGCTGGTCAAACTCGGAAAACTTCCCGGGCCGGAAAAACACCTTGGTGAGCCCAAATTTGAAGTCCTTATCATCCAGTCCTAGGGCCTTGAACAGTGCCTGTAACATGCAGTATGAATGGTACATGTTATCATGGCATTTAACGTAGTCTGATTCTATTTCCTTCAAAAAGGTCAGTGGAGTAAAATTAGTAGAAAGTGTGATTTTACTGTTATTTCACAAGTTGAGTTCGGACAAACAAAACAGAAAACGGATTGTTCTCTACAGCTCAACA